AAGGGGGAGAAGGACAGGGACTGAGAGAGAGAGAGAAAGAGAGAGAGAGCAGGCACACGCAGAGGGAGAAGGACAGGGACTGAGAGAGAGAGAGAGCAGGCACAAGCAGAGAGAGAAGGACAAGGACTGATAGAGGGATGGAGAGAGAGTCACAGTTTTGCTAGTTTTTTTTTATTTATTTATTTATTATTCTTATTTATTTCTTTAATCTTATTTAAATATTTAGTACTCTATCGTACTCTCCCTGATTGCTGAAGAGCGCTGTGCGACGACGGGGCCAGACGGATCCTGAACTCGATAGGCCCTTTCACCCTGCTGGTCGTCGAGGACCTCGGAGCGGGCGCGGYGAAGTGACAGGCGCCGTAGCCCATGGCTTCAGCGAACGGTAGGTAGCCCCTCCCCGGGTTTCCTCACACCGGTCCAACACTGTGAGTCGCATAAAAAGAATGGAGAGTCTTGCTAACATCACTGACGATGTATACTTCGTTGATCTTGCGTCTGGTGTGACCTATGATGAAGAGTACATAACTTATGTCATTCGTGAGATCCACAATGCGACTGACTGTTTGCATCCAAAGCAGGGAGGACTCGAGTTACCGAACTTTTGAACATTCGGACGCTACGACCATAATTGATCTTGTGTGTGTGGATGATTTATATATGTCGAAGTTGTAGGACTATTTCAAGCTCGAGCTTCCGATTGGGGAATTTCAAAGTTACAATAGTCATAAAGCTGCTTGGGGCTGTGGAGAAAAAACTGCAGGCTCTTCAGACTGTAAGTTAAGTTGGATGATGCTTCCAATAAAATTGTTTAGTTTTGGTTGTCTTAGCTCGTGTTCTGGATAGGGTGGTGTCGTGGATAGGGTGAAGAGACCTGAAAGTTGGACTTTTGAAGTGTTTTGAATGATGTTTGCTATAGGACACTGAACCTGGTTTCTAGCATGTGCAACTTGCCACAAACAAATTGAAGCAATTGAAGTGCAAAGAAAAAAAAAACGTATTCCGGGATGTGATGTAAAGAACCCCGACCTTTAAGTTATCTTGCAAATAATGAAATTTGAACTTTGAGGGGAAAAATAAAATAAAAAATGATGCATTGCACATCAATCATTGCACAAAAAGGCATCCCAAAGGTTCAAATAAAGTGCCCCCCCCCCCCCCCCCCCCCCCCCCCCCTCTCTTTCTCTTACTTACCTCAGCCGTGTAAAGAATTTACTTAGACAATTTTAACCAAACTGCCTCAGCCCATTCAAACTCCCGCCAAATCAATGTATGCCGCTGACAGAAAACCGGGCCTACACCTAACTCCCGAGCGAAACACCTGTCTACGGTGATTCGAATAAAACATTTATGTACTCTATTCAAATAGAACACTCGTTTGTTCGAATAGAACACACATGCGTACTATTCGAATAAAACATACATGCATAATATTTGAACATGCGTACTATTTGGATTTCAGGGGGCAACTCTGAGAATTCAACTTTTCTAGGGAAAGTTGAATAATACATAAGTGTGTTTTGTTCGGGGAAGAATGTAGTTGCATTACTCGTCATCCGCCACAATTCGTGGCGGATGTATGGAGAGTAAAACAAACTGGAATCGTGTCGAACTAACGGCCTGGTTGCACACCACTGTATTTCTTCCACATAAAAGTTAAAAACATTGTCTTCATAATCTTCACTCATCAAATCGTGGAGTCGCTAAGAAATAGTTTTGGGGTCTGGTTGCACTACTCTCCATACGCTAAGTTTGACGAGTAGGCGCCTGGTTGCACTTACTTGCCAAACTTCGCGAATTAAAAATATGTCAGACTGCTCGCTACACCGTCGACACAAGTTGTGGTGAGTGTTTTCGGTTTCCCCCCCTGTGCACGACGGTTGGTGGAGGGTGGTCTTGCGACCTCCCCACTCCACAAAACAACTTTCTGGAGAGTGCACAACTTCACGAGTCGAGCCCAGACAAACAATTTTTAAAATTTTTATGTAGAAAAAATATTGTGAGGAGTAAGTTCAACCGGGCCTCCAGTTCGACATGATTCTCATTTTTTAACTCTCCACCCGCCACAAATTGTGGCGTTGGCGGATGGCGAGGAGTGCAGCTGGGCCCTTGTGGACAATGTGGAGCACTCACGAGGATGACCTTCCACAAAATGGCAGTAGAGTAAAGAGTCGGGAACTCGCCACACTCTGTGGCGGATTGAAAAAGGAAACTCGGCAAGAGTTCTGACAGGGTTCCTCGCACAAAGTTTGGGGAGTAAGGGCTAGATCCTACCGGCAAAGAGGATTGAAATAAGTGTATGAATCATAACATGTTCCACGCAGAGATGCAAAAAAGCAGATCAATTACAGTTTTTTGCACCTCTCTACAAACACGTCAAGATTCAGACAGTTATTCCACTCGTTTTTGCTAGTGGGATCTCGCCCTAAGTGCAACCAGACGCCTAGTACCCGCCAAACTTGGTGCATGGAGAGTAGAGCAACCAGTCCCTAAGTTAGAAAGTAGAAAGATATACCCGACATATTCTATTTTTTTTAGAATTGTGCGAGTGGTGCAACCAGACCCTTGGCCCAGTTTTCTGGAACCGCCTGCCATGGGCCCAATTTTTTGGGACCCCCTGTGATGGTCTACGAGGCCACGGTTGCATATGCTATCCGCCACAGGGAAAACCTGGATCAGGCACATACCCAACAGACCTGAGAACACGTCCCTACTGGCAGGAATCGAAACAAATTCTTTTTTTTATATATATATAAAGCCCAGACTGTTGTAGAGGCCAATGACCAAACACTGTGATTGCTGGCAGTGGACAGCTAATGGTTATCCTGACAGGGTGCGGCCACCTCCCAACCCATCCTCACGTCAACGCTCCTAGCGCACCCCTTATCCCTACTAACCTACCTCTGTATGGCCAACACGCATTCTAATTATATAAAAGTTGTTTTCATACTAGAGTGTTGACGGGGGTGGCGGGGGGATACTATGGTAACCCCTCACCATTCGGCCACATTAAGAATACTCTGCTTAGGTGGTCGTCTGTAGACAATGGACCACACGATACCGCTTGAGTTGTATAAATGTGTGTGTTGAGGTCCAAGTGGCATAAGCTTAATAAAGTAATATTTTAGCACTTCTCTATGAGGCCACAATATTATAAGGCACATTTTAAACCTTTCAGTTGGACCAACTTGATAAAGTAGTATTTTAACACTTCTCTATGAGGCCACAATATTACAAGGTACATTCTAAACTTTCCAGTTGGACCAAGTTTTTTGTGTGGCAAGTACTTCTCAAACAAGGTTCATCAATTAAAAAGGAGGATAAGGTAATTTCAGTACCATACCTCCATTTGTATGGTATATAAGGTTCGGGGGAAACATCTTCTGAGGCGACTCTTATGATTTTTTAACCGGCACTGTCAGGGGCCTTCTAATTGAAAAATCAAGAATGTACCTTAGTCAATGACCCTGCTTGTGCCCACAGTATTGGAAGGCACATTCTGAACTTTCAATTGGACCATGTTTTTGGTGCGAAGGTCATAATGAGGCTTTTCTTCAAATTAGTTTGAAAAAATATTGTACTTAATTTTTATATAATTGTTGTAACTTTTTTTTTTTTTTTACTTAGTTTTCATACATTTGTTATAATTTTTTTATTTTTATTTTTTACGTCGCAGTCACTCTTTTGCTGATAGTTTTTCCTACAAATTTATTATTTTTGTTTAGTTTAGGATTAATTTGGATGTACATTTTATGTTCAAAAATTATTTTGAAGATGGTCCACTCGAATTGTATTGTTAAACCACCAGTATTTCACCTACATATCGGTCGTAGGCAAAAATAGAGTAGAAATACATCTAGTCGGATGAATTTGGGCACTTCTGCAGTGACCCGTCCGTTCATGATTGTCACGGTCAATATACCGCCGCATTAAGTAGACCATCCATACGTGGTAATTATTGGTTACTCAACGTTGTGGGTATTCTGTTAAGTTTACTTGTTTTACAATTGTTATATGATTTTCATTATTCAACAATAGATTGTTTGACTATAAAAGTAAGAAGTCTAGTTGTTACTCTTACATGTTGTATTCATTATTGTGTAACTTTTAAATTGAGATCCACAAACTCTCAATGAACTATTTTCTTATTTTTTACCACATTTATACTTTATTACCTTAAATTTATTATTGCATTTCATGTCAATCAAAAACCCCTCCTCAATTAAGCAAAATTAGTTTATCTTGGATTTATTTCACACCTTTAAGTTGGTCGCTGATCTCATTGGTTATCTTACACTCACCACATTTTACGTTCTATTAAAAATTTATTCTGTAGGTTTTCGTTTAACTTAACACAATCAGTAATAATCCTCGTATATCAAGCGACCTACTGTTTTCACCCGAAAATAACGT